TCCCTTATTCTTTATGTAATTACGTGCCATCGAGAGGTTTTGTGTTCACGGCAGTATCTTTTTGTATATGAGTAACCTTTTGAAACTGAAGGCATTCCTTCCAATTAGGGGGCATATGGTTATCGTGTAACTTGATATTTTAATGTCTCGAGAGACTAAAAATGCAGTTTATGAACATCCGCAGAGAGTTGCCATAGGTTTCAGCTGAATGCTACAGATATTCTCTATGGATAAATGCAGGACCCTATGGAATCATAAAACAACATTACAGAAATAATTTGTAAAAGTGATTTTATAATTATGAATAAAATTTATAAATATTATGCCCTGTAGAATGTATACTGTAAGAAGTAACTGAGTACAAGAAAAAAGGATTACTACCATTTAGAGAAAATGATAGCTTTCCAGTGTTGCAGCAGATTCTCTAGCTTTCCAAACCTCTTATTATTATGATTTTACCTTAACATTTAGCCCACACTCCTCCTGGTGATATCTCAGAATCTAAGAAATTCAAATGGAACCAATAGTCTATTTGTGGATAGCATTTCTCAAACCTTTCTTTAATGAAAGTAAAGTGTTTCTTTATTGTCAGTAGCACTTGCATCCCACAAATATTTGGTTCCTGGGGAGAGGGGATAATAAATAAAGCCTTTAGCATTTGTTTAAGCAATAAATTATTGTTTTACAGTTACTGTTATTATTGTAGCACAGTAGTGTTGAACATTGAAGTGAAAAATATTGTGTATTTTGGTGGGTGTTGGAAGCCTTCCATAACCACCTGTAGTTTCTTACAGAAGAGTAAGTCTCCTGAAGGCTGCCGAAAGGGTCTCTGATGGTGGCATCTATATCTGTTGAATTTCAAAGCAAGCTCACAAAAGCAGAAGCAGCACTAGAGAAAACATGGCTTGATATTAATTTAACATTTTTTATTATCTTAGAATCCTTCATATTATCTAACAAATGTTACAGTATATATTATAAAATTAATAAACTCAGTTTAAGTAGAATAATGCCATTCTGCTCCTATCTCTGTCCTAAGATGTGGGTTTAGTTGAGACAACAGGGTCAAACAATTTCACAAGACTTTGCAGATTATTTTTTTCCATTTCTAGTGGTTTGGTTTTGGCTTTGCATTTACTACTGTGCAATAGCATAAAAATTCATAAAACCGTGTATTAATTTGGCTTGCTTAGTTCGGTGTTCTTGCATGTGGATATGTTTCTAGAACAAATGCAGCTCATTTCAACAAAGAAATGTGAAACAAAGCGATTACTCTATTCATATGGAACAGTTTCAGACAGTCCCTGAGAGTGAAAAGGGTAACAGAGGGAAATGGGAATGCTGAAATTGTCTGTGAAAAATATTTTTGCATTGTTCCCTGGGATACTGTGCATGCTGCAAAGCACAAAAGATATTCTTTTTGTCTACCTGAAAATGTCATTATCCAGTCAGTCCTATTCTAAGACCACATATCTACAGAAAAGGAAAATAAGGTTCAGAAGAAAAGCAAGGAAAAAATGGTAACTCAGTCATAAAGCTGGAGATAGTGCTGAGGAAGAGGGGAAAATAAGCTTTATATCACCTATTTTTATTCTGAGAGCTCATTGTTGGTTTTGCACATGTTTTTTTATCCTCTGGATCATTTCCTTCAATAAGTAGCTTAACACGGAAAGGGGCATACAGACACAGCCTGTGCACACCCTGCTTGCCCTAAACAACTTATAGTTTAGGGCAGGAGCATATTTTGGCAGCAGGGTGGGAAAGGAGACCTCTCTTCCTGCAAGCCTGAGGCTTGTCTCTAGAAAAATGGAAAAAAGTAGACATGCCAAGTTCTTGAGCTTAGCAGTCATTTTCCCAAACTACTGCTGTCTCAGCAGATAAAAAATGTAATGTCAACCGTTATATCAGAAACTGTTTCATGAAAACCTCTTCTAGGCTTCTATGGATCTTCATCTAAAATAGCAGTTTTATTTCAGCCAGTCTATAATGACTTTTTCAAGCACTGCAAGTAGCCATATAGTGGGAAGGGTACTTAATTCAGGACTCCTGGAAGACGGAGTATCTTGAATATCGGTTGTGAGCGTGTCAGGAGTGCCAGTAACCTGACTGGTAGCTGTAGTTTGCCAGAGCGCATTCTTTCCAACAGAGCCCCATCTACATGGGGGTGAGCTCACAGAGCTCCATTAATAACTTAGCACTTGAGGATACTTTGCAGCCATATTGATGTCCAAAACCAGTAGTTGCTAATAACTGTGTCTACAAATCAAAGAACAAGAACACATAATTTCTTCTTGTCCTTTTCCACTTTATTTTTACTAGCTTGTGATGTTTGAACCCACTCTTCTCATAAGCAGTGGAAACTGAACCTCTTGAGAAGTTCATGACTAAAGTCTTTATCACAGATTCATGTAGTACATGGGTAATATGGTATGGGTATGTTTTTTGGGTCCAAAAGGCTAGCAACCATTATTAAAGAGCACAAAGAATGTGAATATTAAAAACAAACAAACAAACCAACCAAACCAAACAAACCTCCCCCAAAAAACACCCCACCCAACACCCCAAACCATAAATATTTATGTTTTAGGGAACAGTTGTGAAAAGCAAGCAGCTAAGATTCTGGAAAAAATTGTTAACATTTTTTACTAGAAATCTGAACTTGATATTTCTCACGTTTAGATTTGCAATCAGTTATGTTGCTTCAAATGCAATTTCACTGTAAGGAATAATTATTTCTGCTATTTTCCTGCTGCCTGGACACAAGCTTTTGTTGTGAAGGCAGGGTGTTTTAAAAAGTCTTATTACATTGCTTATTGATTTGAAAAGATAATAAAATCCTACTGCTAAGTCTGTCCCATCTGGCACCATTTCACTGCATTTTTAAATTCAAAATAACAGAATAATGAGTTGATAACTATAATACACAAAATATGTTTGCTGTTATAAACAGGCAAATAATGTTGATAATTAAATGTGTTAGGTATTATGTCAGATAATGATAGAGACAAAAAATTGCAAATGACATTGAAAAATTTGTTCCTTAGTTCAGAAAAATGCAAAGTATCACATACTTATGT